GCACATTGATGTCAAGCATCACTTCATCAGAGATCATGTGGAAAAGAAAGATATCAAAATTGAGTACATCTCAACTGAAGAACAACTGGCGGATATCTTCACAAAACCACTAAGTGAAGCCAAGTTTTCCGATTTGCTTCACAAAATTGGTCTAATTCAATTAGACTAAGTGCGTTACACGTGGCGAACTACTTTCCACATCTGTCAGTATATTGGGTAGGCACGTGGCCTTGGGAATAGTCAAAAACCCAATCACCACTAGCCGCATAAATCGCCCAAATAAAACCCAATCGCCACTATTCAGATCTAAACCGCCCATTCAAAATTTTTCGTCGTCTTCTTCGTGAAAACTCTCAAGAACCCTAGGTCTTTCTCTCTAAAATTCTCAATCAAATTTCTGAGAAAATGAAGGTTGTCGGCGCTAATATTCATTTCCAGAAGTTAGAAGCCAAGTGCTCCTCATCGACATTCTTTCAAAGCTATCTGGAAATGATAGCCGCTCAAGAACTCTCAAAAATTCTTCAAATGGAGATTCGACTCAAATTCGAGGAAGAAGTTCTTGAATTCTACAGAAATGGAGAAATCAAAACTGCTCATTCAAAGAAGGACCCACAGCGGACATTTCCTGTCATCAAGTCCACTGTTGGAGGTACGAAAGTGAAGCTTTCACAGAGGAAATTGGGAGAAAAGCTTCGCCTTCCCAACTCTGGGATTGAAATTGGGAAATTTCCAGCCAAAAATCTGGACTGGAACATCATTGGAATTTCTGGGCAAATTCCTTCTGGCCCGGCAAAGAAAGCAGATCTAAACAACGACTACAAGTTGATTTTAGAACTGGTCATCGCCTGCCTCGAGTGTGGAAGTGGAGGTCACGCCGATGACATCACTCAGGAGAGAGCCTTCATCATCAACGCTCTCATTACCAAAACTAAGGTAAACTAGGCTGTACACTTTTTCAATTCCATCTCAAAACATTTGGGAAAGCCCAACCAGAAATATCTCTGTCAAGGACTATACCTTGGACATATTTTGGAGTCTATGGGTATTGCTTCTAAAGGAAAGAAGTATGAAGAAAGATACTGGTTATACTATCTGTCTTCAAAAGGGGAAAATAGGGCTGGTACTAGTGCCACTGCAGAAGAAAGCTCTTCAGATAACGTCCCACTTATCCATATGACAAAGACTACCAAAAGGAAGAAAGTGGTGTCTCCCTCCATTGAAGCACCACAGAACCTTGCCTTGATATGTTTGGAAGAAGAAGAAGAAGTCTCTGACCATTGAGAATTTTAAAGGAAGAAGAAGAGGAAAATCAACTCTCCATCAACATCTAGAAATGTCAATCCGGATGAGTTGAAGGAGAAGGAGTCTGCTGAGGAAACCTCTGCCCAAAACCGGAGTACTCAACAACTTGAAGAAGAAACTCCTCAAGTCCAAAGCCTTCCAACTCCCTCATCTCAGCCTCATACAGATGATGCTGACAACAAATTCTGGAAGCTCTACTATAATTGGAGAGCTTGGAAAGTTGGAAATTCAGCAGAGCAACTGTTGGATTGGGATCAACAACTGAAGAATGAGGAGGTTATCAAGAAGTGCTTAGGAATACCAGTCAACCACAACTGTGAAGACATTTTGAATGACTACTGGGTAAGGCAAAAGAACCCTGAAGACCTGCATATGGAATACTTGGCCAATACACCAGTTTCAGACTGTGAAGCAGATGATGAAGACACTGCAGTCTTCAAGCCAGTCTTCTCAAAAGTCACAGAAGACCAAGTGGCTCTTACTTCTATGGAAGCAGCAGTTGAGGATTTCCAAACATTTCCAGAAACCTCACCTGCCTTCGAAACGGAAACCTCACCTGCATTTCAGGTAACTTCTCATGCTTCTGAAATGGTTCTAACTGAAGTTGTTCAAGAGAAGGCAACTTCTCCCCCACAAGAACAGAACCAGGAAACAACAGCAGAAGAAGAAATTCAACAACTAATCCAATCTCAAGTTTTAGAGACTCTCACAACTCCTGGTGAGATCTCCAATTATACAGAAACTGAGATCCCGGAGAAGTCAGCAAAAATTCCAGAACAGTCAGCTCTTCCAGAAACAATAGAGCAAGCTGTTGAAGTGCAAAGGAACTCTGGAGAAGCTGAAAAGGAAACTCAAATGGCAGAAGTGGAGGTTT